ATGTGTGCCTTAGATAGAACCCTTAACACCGCTTTTTCTTTGTGTGTGTTTGATTTTGTTTCCTTTTTAAATTTACAAATAACAACATCGTTTTACAAAGCTCTGCGATAGATTGTCGACCTGATCAGGGTGTGCGCCGCCTGTCACTCTATGATAGCTCGGATAGGCTTTATATATATTCCTCTCTGCAACTTATATATGACACATGAGGAATATACAGTCCATGTTGGGATTTCAGTTGTTGTTGAGTAATCTCCTTTCTTTCTCTGTGTTGTTTCTGCTGAGAAGCCCCCCAGACATCACCATTACAAACTGGCACATGCCCTTTGTCCATCACCAATTGATGAGGGCAATGGAGGAAACATTTTGGAATAAAGGGGGTGTGAAGTTTGCCAACATCAATCTTGCTTCAAATTGAACCGCAAAGTTCCAGCTGAATGAATTGCCTTTCAAATGCAGGAGGCCATGGCTACACGCATTCAATCCCAGAGTGAATCTGTTTTGATCCCAAGAGCCGTACAAAGGCGCAACACACTGATTGATAAAGCAAACTGAGGGGAGATGAGAGTAAAAGAAAAAAAGAGAGCCAAGTCAATGGGGGAGAGTGTAAAGGGGAAAAGCCGATACAGCCAAGTGAAGGCAGAGAAGACTGAATAAGACAAAAGACAAACAGCAAAAGGGTGAAAAACTATCTGAATGTAAAATAAGATGATTCTACAATTGAGTCCAAGTTGTTCTACAGAGACCAAGTGGTTTTAATAGAACACGAGATTTCTATGATAACACATTTGTTCAGCTCTTTGTGGGGGTGGAAACAATTGTCTGATCACAAACTGCAAAATGGTGTCAAAGGTGAAGACTATGGCGCGACATCAGTGTCCACAGTTGTAACACATTTTCAACTTGCTGCATTTTTCCAAGAGTAAAACAGAATAAAGCACAGCGAGGCTGAAACAATCGGCTTGAATGCTCTTCCCTTTACAGAAGCCACAGAAGCCACAGAAGCGTATTCCACTCACAGCAAAAATATAAATTAACACCAAGTCGTTCAATAAATAAACTTTGGATAAAACAGCTGGATTGTGTTGCTGTACAGCCTTAAACCATTACATCTGTGTACATTTGTTTGACGATGGAAAGTTTTCTTTCTTTTTCTTTTTTTCTTGGAGGGGGCATGATTCATTTGAAGGTCTTTTTCTCTATTTATGCTGTATTTATTCTTTGTAACCATACAAAGTTACTAGAGGTGGGAATCACCTTGTTGTGTTCATCACCTTGTCTTGGTGTTGCCCTTCATATATGGAAATAGTGCCAATGTCACAGTTAACATTTTTAATAAAAGCATTTTCGATTAGCCAAGAGGTTTGAGGCAGTCGCTCTTGGTTCACGATTTGTTACTTTTCTTTTGATTT